AGAAGCGGATTATACGAATGCATGCTATAGACACTTTATAACTAGGTAGGTGAGTGGAACAAAGAGGTATAAATTACATAAAAAAATTCAAAACTAAATAAAAATTCGTGTGATGGAATTATGATGCAAAGGCACGATTTCCTGAAGCTTTGTGAAACAATATTTCAAAATTCAAATTTATTGTCATTAAGAATAGTTTCAACAACACTCAATCATTAGTAGCAAGTTTTGCTTTTTGCAAGTAAGATTGCTCATGAAGTTCCACCACACACTTTGCTCAGAAAAGCCAAATATGAATTCAAACTACTATATTACAGCAGGAGAGATGGTCTAGAACCAGTTACATTTCATCAAAAATGCGATATCATAAAAAAAAACTCTTGTAATTGCTAAAATAAAAAATTCAGAACAAATAATTGGTGGTTATAATCCACTTGATTGGAATGGACGGAAATGTAAATGTACAAATCAAAGTTTATATTTAATATTTTTGATAGAAATGATGTTGATACTGTACAATTTAGTTATATTGTTGAGAGTTGGAAATATGATTATGCAATTTCTTGTGATTGCCATGTTTTGGTAAAAGTATTTTATTTCATCCAAATGGTCAAATACATAGTGATAATGATTCAAGAATATATACATCATGATATTAGATCGTGGTGAATTTGATGAATAGTAAGTTTTTCAAATTATTGATAAAAAAATAAATTCATCTAGATACAAATTTGATTATAATTTTATTTTTATTATATTATAAATAAATATCTGTAATTTTTAGTTAGTTATGAATTTTCTTTCTTGATAAATTTCCTAGGCAATCCTTTCTTTTTAAATAAGCTTCAAAATGTCAGAGTATTATTTATTTTGAAGATATAAAGAGTAATTTTTTTTCACCTTGTTCCTTTCTAAAAATACTTCTGATAGTGCTATAATTCTTGGGTCCGTAGTAGATCTGATGTAAATAAGTTAATATTAATTTTAGAACTATAAAAAAACTGACATTGAATCATGTAACGAATATTTTGACTTTTTAATAAATCTGTAACGATTTTTGGAAAATTTCTGTGATGATCACCATTATCGTTTAAAATAAATAATAACTGATTTCTTAAGAAGAACAAGTTTTTAAACGAAAACGTGACAGTTCAATAATATTCTCGTAGTTGGCAAAATACAGAATTCAGATCAATTAATTCACCTAATTGGAATTTAAATAATGGAGAGGGTGTAATTAAAAATACAACTGAAAGTTTTATTTTTAATATTAGTAATAGAAATAATACTAATTCTGCACAGTTTAGTTATGTTATTAATAATTATTGATGGGCAATTCAGTGTCATGGTTCATATTCAGCTCTTTTTGGTGGTGTTGATCTTGGTTTTATGTCAAATCATGTTATTCAATATGCAAGTTTTTCTTATGATAACATTAATATAGTAGGTGGTAGTAAATAGAAGTGTTTCAAATAATTAATAAAAAATATAAATTACAAAAATAATTAATATTGATAAATTTATATGTATTATAACTATTGAAGATAAATTTTTTAATTAAAGATTATTATATTTAAAGGCTATTTGTTCTCTTTAAACATTCTTCTGAACAAACCAAGATGGCTCAAGTTGAAACTCGAATTTTTTGAGTTTGAGCCAAGTTCAAATCAAAAAACAATAGGCTCAACTTGACTTGATAACTTAAATTTAATATTTTTTTTTTAAGTAACAAATAATTATACTATATATTTCATTTTATTTATCAAATTCATTACTTAAAAAACAGTTTAAGAGCCTGTTTTCTTGAACTTAAAAATTCAAGTTTTAATTTGAATCTGCTCAACATTGTGTTTCTGTTTAAATGAAGTTTGCTCTAAATTATTGTTTTTACATCGAATAAAATAAATAAACAAATAATTCAAAATAGTTTGAATGAATGAATAAATGAATCGAATATAATGAATAACTTGAGTAAACAAGTAATTCAGCTCAACTAAATAATAATAAAGATGTTTGTATGCATATACTTCAGAACCTAATAACATTTTTTATAAAAAGCACAAATAATAGATCATTTGAAATTTTTAGTCTGTCGGATGATGACTTAAATGCATAATCCATTATAGTAAAAATATTTTTATTATTGTCTTACTCCTACAATTATAATGGTTTATAAAATTTCAAGTTGCTCAAGCTCAACTTGAACTTGGTTTTTGAGCTCGAGATGAGGTTTGAATTAGTGCTTTTCTATGTTTAAGCCGAATTTAAGTTAAGGTTGGGCGACGAAAACATTTTAGAGTGTAAAAAATATTTCATCGGGAACGTGTGACAAAAATGACAAAAGTATAAAACAAAAATCATAATCGTGGATACTTAATTTTTGTATGTAAAGTTTTAGTAGTAATTACTGCTTCACATTTCACGGCTTTCTACAGAATTTGTGATTGTTGAAATGCTTCTTCATTTACTATTTCCGAAAATAAATTTTCGTTCATTGATTCGTGAACTTTATTATTATCATCATCATTTCAATCTTTATGGCTTTCCAATTCCATATCCTCATCTATTTATCGTTGTCTTCCAAAAAAAATTTTTTTCTAAATCCATATCGCAAATTTCTAAATCCTCTGTCTCATCATCATCAATCCAAATTAACTTCTGATTCAACCAATACACTCTTTAAATCCTTTTTGATAAAGTCTGGCCGGCATTTTCTAATTCTTTTTTAATATTGCTTTGATAAAAAGAATGAATTTAGTAATCTCTCTATATATGCATTCACATCCATCATATGCAGAACAACTGAAAATAATTTAACTGCTAATTTATATTTGATATCATGAGTTTATTTTTTTACATTTATTTTTGGCATGTGAAGAAAATAAGACATTTTGTCACCCAAACTTATTATAACTCAGTTCAGTTTTGCTTGTTATAAATAATAAATATAATAAATTATTTTCGATGATAATATAATTTATATGTAAACCTTTGGTTATTCATGCTCTTTTTTATCCTGCAAGCCAAGAATGTTCTGATATATCTGTTCACAGAAATTTAACAGTTTTCCACAAAGAGGACAATCATTATGATAAATGACAAAACAAACTATAACCAACAATTTCCTATTTTTTTGCATTACGTGTTCCAGCATTAAACCATTTTCTGTCGCGTGAAATTTTGATTGATAAAGAAAACTAATTACTTTAGGAAGTGTAAACGCAAATAGAACATGACGAGAAGAAAAGAAAGCTGATGAAACCATTAATCGCTGAACGTATGCGCCAGTCTAATTTTGAATTATTTTCTAGTAAAAGCAAGGTTTTGATAAAAAACAACCGGGTGGTGGATGATATTTGAGAAGGAAATTATAAACAAATTAAATAAATATTCTACAATTCAATATTTTATTTAAAGATATGGAGACCACTAAATGAGACTTATAAACAACATTAGCTTTATTCGAGATCCTTTTTATATCTCCTAGATTTATTATAAAATTTAAAACCTGGAATATTTACAATGATATTACGCGCGTTACAAAATTTCACATTTAATTCATAATTTTCTTTAACTAGATAGCCACAATTAAATTTTAATTTTAAAAAAGCAGAATTAGCTACAAATCATCAAAACATTTGAAACATATTAATATAGTTATGTGTAATTCACATATGTAAATTATATCAATATGATAAAAATTAAAATCAGAAATTTTTCTTTAAAAAGAATTTATTTAAAATATTTTCACTTAGGAAGCACTCGCAGAAGATATGATTGTTGTTATCCAGCAATCAGAGAATTAACAATCCTTTTGAAAATTTGCTGGTCTATATATCTTGGTTTGAAATTAAATGGTGAGATTAACTTGCATATTTATTGGATAAATCTCTTACAATACCTGCTAATATTTCAATAAATTAAATTTGTTTGCCTATTTCAAGCTGTAAAGAAGATTAAGCATATTCAGAAATAGTTTGAGGACTGCAGAGATAACCATGTAGTGGCGAAGGAAATCTCTCTTTTATGATGCAGAAAAAATGTTAAAACAACGGAATATATTGTATTTTAACTAATAGTATTGTTGTGTTGAAGTTAAAAAAAAATTTAAAAAAATTACACAATAATAAATTGTTTCCAAGAATTCTAAAATAATTTTTCTATCTTACCTATTGGAAAAAATATTTATCTAAAAAATGATATTTCATTAAATTTATCTAAAGAAGATTTTTCATTTACTGATATAGAAATACGGTTATCTATCAGGCGTCCAACACTCTAAATTTAGTCATCTGATTTTAAACCTTTCAAATGGAAAAAAATCATCTAAAAACGTCTAAAGAATGGCCTTATTGATATGAAAATGCACAAAAAATATTTATCTAAATAATGAAAATTCACACACAAAAAAAAATATATATTTATCTAAAGAATGATTTTCCATTGATTGGACGCCCATCTCTAATCAATTCAATTCTTTTTTTTCTCTTTCAAAAAAAAAAAGATTACATAAAATTAGTCAAAAGATTATCTTTATAATCTAAAGAACAGGAGATTCTTTCTCATGGTATAAGCATCCAGAATTAGCGAAACTTGTTTTTTAAAAATGTTACACGAGTTAAAATTTCGCGTTTTATCTCACAATTTTAGTGAAACATAAGAAGTATTTAAACATCTTAAATTCCCTCTAATAACTCTCTTCTGAATGGTAACCTGCTTAATAACAACATTGCAGTAAAACAATCATATAATATTATAAAACCATCGCTAGTTGGCAAATGGTATCCATATTAATTTATTTAATTAATTAGTGAACTGTTAATTTCAATTTTATTAAAGAAACTGAATATTAGTTGATAAACGGTTCTATATACATAATCACCAGAAACATCTTTACCATCATAAAATAACTGTTGAGTATTGCATCGTCATTATAAATCACGCTTGTTTATAAAAAATAAGATAAATGAAACGGCATCTACAAACTACCAAGAGTAATAGCAAAGATGAGGGGAAATGCTACATCCCTGTAATTCATAATAATACTGAGCAAGATTGTATTAAACCATTAGTTTTATTTCAGCAACCATCAGTTTTGTTTCGGCAACAATCAGTTTTACATCGGCAACCATCAAATTTACATCGGCAACCATCAATTTTACATCGACAACCATCAGTTTTACATCGGCAACCATCAGTTTTACATCGGCAACCATCAGATTCGGTTAACGGCCAAAATAAACATTACCATGAAAGGACCAATCAAACAAACCAATGATAGTGGTGGTATTGGTGTTTGTTATGGAAACTACGACATTAATAATAATCATCTCTTTTGATTTCGATTCCTTATCTTCTGATGATACAATAGCAATATATGCAAAGAGTACATCTACAAATAGTAAACACTGTTAAAGGAGACAAGAGAAAATAAATAATTGATGAATTAACGAATATTTAGCATCAATCTGAATTTGTCTAATTAAGCATTGAATCATTATTATTTATTATTACAATACTTGTTTAAAATAAATAAATTAAAAAAAAAATTTAGGACAAATTTCCTGGATTGATCTCATTAATTTTCAGATATTTAGAATCAATCAATGTAGACATAGAATCTAGATGTATGCTAGGAAAATATCTAAGATTTGTTAGTAAAAGAGCTGAAGGTATGTTACTTATGAAAAAAAAATTTCTTTTGGTGATGATTGAGTTTTTAAAAAAACCATTCCGTAAAATATTTTTTATATAGGTAAGTTGCAAACAACAGCAAAATGGATGAGAAACTTTGTACAAAATCATCCAAAATATAATCAAGATTCTGTCGTTACTCAGGAAATTAATTATGACTTGATCAGGATGATTGAAAAGATTCAAAATGGTCAGGTTAAAGTTGAGGAATTAATGGATGATTGTTTACAAAAGTAATAGAAATGAAATATAATGTTTTATCAATATAATAGACATTTTTTAAAAAATAAACATGTGAAAAATATTAAAAATAAGGTAGAATGAATTAATCTGCCAAAACTCTGATTTTTATTTATGTACTTGGCAATTTTGCAGATTATCAAAAATAAAAATTTTATTATAATTGCTTTTATGTATTAATTAAAAGTCGTTTACTCATTTTTCTATTAAGCAAAAAAGGCCTGTTGTTTTCACCAATTATGATCTCTGTTATAAAAAACAGAAGTTTGGTCAGATGACCTCAGTCTTGGACTTGCGTAAATTGTTTTAAAAAAGTATCCGCATGTAAAAAACAGATAACCTTGGAGATGGGAAAGGTCTTTATTATCAACATAGTTTAATTTTTTAATAAGTATACACTTTTTTGATTTTCTGTCCAAATGGTCAATTGGTTAAAAGCTTTTATTTTTTGATCCATTATTTTATTCTATTAAATGATGTTACAATTCTTTTTTGATTCATTATTTTCATTATAGCTTTTCTATTTGATATTCCTTCTTTGATATTATACAAATTAATATTAATTGGGCATTGTTATTTCAGGGTTCACTACAGATCTTGATAGCAAGCTCTAGATCATGTGGTTGATCTTTGAATGGTTGTTGACATGTTGATAATTCCGACATTAAGATCCCAAAGCTATAGATGTCTGATTTTTGTGTATAAGGTTTCTTGTTTAACACCTCCGGTGCAATATATGGTAGTACTCCAATAATACTATTTTCACTTGATGTTTCTTGATCAGTTTGGCCTGATAACCCTAAATCTGTAATCATTGCCTGGGATAAATATGAAAAATATAAAATATTACCACTGTGAAGATCACCATGTTTAAGTTTTTCTTGATGTAATGCATTTAAACTTGAGATAATGTCATAAAGTATTTTAATTTTATTATTCCAACTTGTATATCTTGATTGTAAATATTTTTTAAAATCTCCTTTGTCTGCATATCTCATTATGAGAACATATTCTTTTGTATTTGGATCTTGTGAAATGCCATAAATATTAGCAATACCCTTGTGATAAGGTCCTATAAATTTAATGTGATATTGAAGCTTTATGAAAATTAACAAAAAATGAATGTATGATTTAAATTGTTAATTAATTATTTCAAATTATTTACCTCTTTTAAAAACTCTTTGGAAACATTTTGTGAGTTTTTAAACTTTTTTAATGCCACATAACCACTTTTACAATAATATCTCATATTCTTATAAATATATCTAGGACCATTTGACCAGCAACACTTATATACAATTGCAAAACCACCTTCACCTATTCCTTCTTTAACTGTGAGTTGGTCATAAGGAATCCATTCAAGATAATCAAATCCTTTGGCTTCAAGCTGTGTATTTCTGATTATTTCATCCAATTTTTTATTACCACTGCTAGTCCAACTTTGAGCCAACAATTTGGGATCACATTATTGACACCACTGGTCATTAGTATTATATCTTGCACAAACAGAGCAGGTCCCATATTCTCTTTTTCTTTCATCTTTAAACTCTTTAGTAATATCTTATCATTTCATTATAAAAATTAAAAATAAATAGAATTACTTTTCAGCATAATAAAAATAGAATTCATTCCAAGCAAAAGTTGTAAAAAAGATAAATTTATAAATTATTTTACCTTCAATTGTAAGTTATTATACACAAAAAATAAATTTATTTAATTAGACAAGGTTTTGATAAATTTTATTTTGTTATAATATAACATAATATTTACCAGCTAGTTATTATGAAAAAATAAAAATTATTTAATAGATGATTTTATAAAAATTTATTTTATGTTATAGAAGTTACTTACATGCTGTTTATCATGAAGAAAAATAAATTTATTGATTAGTTGATATTTTAATAAAAATTATTTTGTGTTGTAAAAGTTAATTTCATAATATGATACTTACTCCCTGGTTATTACAAATATTTATCAATTAGATGATGTTTAGTAAATTTATTTTGTGTTAATTTATAATATACTACTTACCAGCTGGTTATTATAATAAAGAAATAAAGTTATTGATTAGATATAAAAATTATAAAAGTTGATTTATAATACAATATAATACTTACTAGCTGGTTATTATAAAGAAATAAAAAATAAAATTATTTAATTATATGATGTTTTATTTTGTTCTGTAAGAGTTAATTTATAATATAATTAGATGATGTTTTTATAATGTTTATTTTGTGTTTTAAAAGTTAATTTATGATATAATACTTACCATCTATGAAATAAAAAATAAGGTTATTTAATTAGATGATGTTTTGATAATGTTTATTTTGTGTTAAAATATAATACTTACTCCCCGGTTATTATAAAGAAATAAAAAACAAATTATTTAATTAGAAGATGTTTATTTTGTGTTGTAAAAGTTAATTTATAATATTTACTCCCTGGTTATTATATATAAAGAAATAAAAAATAAAATTATTTGATTAGATGATGTTTTGATAATGTTTATTTTGTGTTGTAAAAGTTAATTTATAATATTTACTCCCTGGTTATTATATATAAAGAAATAAAAAATAAAATTATTTGATTAGATGATGTTTTGATAATGTTTATTTTGTGTTGTAAAAGTTAATTTATAATATTTACTCCCTGGTTATTATATATAAAGAAATAAAAAATAAA